AGTTCCGACACCCTCTTCTGACCTCCACCACAAAGTATAATGGGTACACTGGCATATATACAGGTAGTACACTCATACACACAAAATAAAAATAAAAAATAAATTATTTTTTAAAAAAGAAACAGTTATAGAATAAGTGTTAGAGGTTGATGGGGCCCAAGGAATGTACGGGCATTGACTTCCTGGCTACTTCATGCTGAAATTGGGACATGGTGGAAGCTAAGGTCAAGACTTCTCCCTCTTTGTTGGGACTTTTAGTTGGAATTTTATCAAGTTTAAAGATTAGGAAGAACTGATTTCAAATATTGAACTCCTCCATGAGAATAGAGAGAGCTTTCAATTTTTCCAAGTCTATTTTTTAAAGATTTTCTTGTGTGTATGTGTGTTTCCTACAAAAATGTAAGTGCACTGTGTGCATGCAGTGTCCTCTGAGAACAGAAGAGGTTGCCAGATACCTTGGAACTGGAGAGTTAGAGACAGTTCTGAGCTGCCTGTGGGTGCTGAGAACCAAACCCAGGACCTCTGCAAGAGCAGCAAGTGCTCTTAACAATCGAGCCATCTCTTCAGCCCCTGTTAAAGTCTATTTTTACGTCTTTCAGTTTTAGTTACACAAGCTTTGTCATTTCATGTTAAATTTATGCTTAGATATTTTATTCGCTTTTAAAAACTCTTTTGTCTCTTCTTAGCCCATTTCATACATGCATGCAATGTATCTTGATCCAGTCTGCCTCCAAATCTTCCTCGTGCTCCTCTCAGACACCTCCTTCCATGTCCTCTTCCCACCTTAATATCCTCTCATTTTTATATTTTAAAGTACTACTGGGCTTCAAACAGTTCTCGGTGGGTGTGGCCAGTTTGTTATATAAAGAGAAAATTGAAAGTTTGACACTAGAGATAAGAATGGTAATTTATGACAGTTTAGGAAGTCCATACAAGAGATGATAAAGTACATAAATAGGAAGAGCAGATAGGACTGGACAATTGATTAGACATAGGAGAGGAACATAGGTCAGTCTGGGGGTTCCTGATACAGAAGACTAGGTGTGACCATTCTGCAATAAAAGATGCATAAGATGTAAGTTCATTTGAAGAAAATATGGCTATGGGATGGATACCCAAGAGACGTCTTCTTAAGATAGGTGAGAAAATGGGTTCAGTGCTAAGGAAAATGGCTTTGTAGTAATGCTTATTAGAGAGTCGTTAAGTGATGAGTTTCCCATTTGATTCTGTGTTTTGCTTTGTTTTACTTTGTCCATCTTTTCTCACTGATCTAGTGGTGCACCTTATACTAAGACTTGGCTATCTAGAGCGGCCACATTCTTCACTTTGACCTTCTTGCATCAGTGAGGAATCATGGCTTCTAGATAGCAAGCCACAATGGTAAAATTTGTACTCTTTGCTCTGAGATGCTGCAATCTACTGTATGTGTTCCATGTGCTAAGTTGTTATGGTATGTGCTTTTCAAACAATAGCTCTGTGACAACTCTGAGTTGGTTGAATTTTTTTCATTTGTAAGTGGGGAACAGTGAAAATCCAGTAGTCGGCTTAATCATCCTATCAGTATGTGTGAGCTCTGGATTTGAATGCCCTCTGCCTGATTCTTCAGGCCTGCCTGCCAGCCTGAGTTGCCTCCGTGTGCCTGTGGTGCTATTCTGCCTTAAATGCATTTACTCTTTTTCTTTCTTTGACATACAGAAGATCTCTTTTAAAGAAGTCTAATAAGATATATACATACAAAGTTGGTAACAGTGATTATTGTTACATGATAAAATTGAGTTTTGTTTTCTGTTCCATGCTTCATGTGTCCTAGATTGAATGAAATGACCATTTATTGCTTGTTATAACCAGATGCACAATGGTACTATTTCTATAACAGCAATGATTTTTCCCCACCAATAGTACTATACATGGGCATTTAATGCATTTTTACTGTTGCCCCTTACATCCCTTGGTAGCATTAATGGAAATCTTTAAAAGCAGCATTATTGGTGCTAATTGCATCTACATGATTTCACTGAAAGTTCACAGGTCCTGTCTGCCATAAGGGGGAGTGTGTGCTGTGGCATTATCAGCTTAGGGAGGTGGGTTCTCTATTTCCCTCAGCTTCCCACTCCACACAGTTTAACTACAGAGGCAGAAATTACGCATGAATGGAATGGTGAATGGACACTTCTGATGTGCCTAGGGAGTACTGGAGATTTGGAGCATCATGTTTTTAAGGAGAAGAAAAGGCTCTCAGAGCATCTTTATCTTATGATTCATATTTATCTTAGATACAAAGATGTATCAGTGGCCTCCCCATTTGCTGTTCAGCTACTCATGGCACATGTCCACTTAGCATTGTCAGGTCAGTTAATAAACTGTAGTCCTGAAGAAGAGGTTAAAGAATTACCTTCAAAAGAAACACAGTGGGACTGAGACAATGCCCCATTGGTAAAGTGACTGGTATGCATGCTTGAGGACTTGAGTTTGTCTCCCCAACACTCAGGTAAAAATCAGATATGGCAGGGTATGTCTGCAGCCCAGCATTGGAGGGGCAGAGACAGATGGATTCCTAGAATCCAGTACTAGCCAGCCTGGCTTCTTTCAATGAGAGACTCTGTCCCCCCAAATAAGGAGAGAGATCAAGGAAGACATCTGACATCAACCTCTGGCCTTCACATGCACACACACACACACACACACACACATAAACATATACACAAACATACACATATACACACAAAAATAATTTTTTAAAGAAGGGGCCTGGTTAGATTGCTCAGTGGTTAATACAGACCCACATACACATGTGTACCCACACACGTGAAAACATTCATATACATACATGCACACCACACACCTGAAATGGAAAAATGAAATTTAAAAAATACCAAAGGAATAAATTTTAAATACCCCATTAATATAATTTTTTAAATTCCATTTTGGCCAGTTCCAGCCTTCTGTGTGAATCACCTTCTGTTGCATGAGGAAGTTTGGCTGGTGAGAGTTGAGAGATGCATTAGTTTTCTCTCTCCCCACTGTTCTGCTGTGTTCTATGAGCCTTAGGTATAGAGTTTCCATTGCAGATATGTCATTTGGGGCTGGGCATTTCACAGACACTTATTCTCTGTGTGTGATGAGTGGTGACTGGTGTACTTGTCTGTAAATATAAGAATCCATATTTAGCATAAAGTAAGAAATTATATTTGTCTAGGAATGTGACAGAGGTTTTCTCTAGGATCTATGACCTCTCCCTGGATAGAACTCCCATATTAAACCTCACCCACCCATGGCTCAGGCCGTGCAAAAGAGGGGGTAGAAGGATTGTAAGAGCCAGGGGGTTGGTGCATGATCATAAGGGAAACAGAGTCTGCGAGGCCTCTGGGAACTTCCTCATATGAACTTACAGCAATGATGACAGCATGCACAAGACCCATGCAAACTTAATCAGAAAAAAACTCAGCAAAGAACGGGGAAAGGGTGGAGGTGGAGGCCCCAGTCTCAGCTGAGAAACTATTAGCAGCTGATTACTGCTGGGTGAGGGAGAGTTGATCTTTAAGGGAGAGACTCTAGATAGGCTGACAAGACTCCAGTGGATGAGCTCTCACTGAGGGATATCTGGAAATAGAAACTTGACTCCATAGGTCTTAACATATATGACAGAATGCATGAAATCCAGTGGGGGGAGGCTGTGGGGAGTGCAGATGGGGGATAGATCTAAATATGATTAAAATGTGTTGTATGAAATGCACAAAAATTCAGTAAAAAGGCATTGAGGAAAAATAAATAAAAGTAGTAAATTTGCTAAAAAATAATTTTTAAAAATTTTACCTCTTTTTATTTTATGTGTATGAGTGTTTTGCTTACATGTATATAAGTGCACCCATGTCATGCAAAGCCCACAGAGGCCAGGAGAGGATGACAGATCCCCTGGAACTGGAGTTATGGACAGTTGGTAGCTACCATGTGGGTCCTGGGACTCAAACCCGGTTCCTCTGGAAGAGCGGCCAGTGCTCTTCACCCCTGAGCCATCTCTCTAGCCCCAGTAATAAACTTTTTGATTCTCTCTACATTTTTTTCTTTAAAATCTTTTTTATACTACTTTTTTAATTGAATTTTTTGTGTATTTCATACAGAACATCTTAAACAATCTTAATCATCTTTATACCCTCATCCTCACTGGCACCCTCCCATAACGCCCCCCCCCCCCCACTGGAGCCCATATACTCAGTCATCCCTGTTAAGGCCCACTGGGTTGTCAGTATCCCCAGCCATTCTCTAGTGCAAGTCCGTCCGCTAAGTCTAGTCAGTCTATCTTCTGTACTTTTAAAGTGAGCTGCTTTTAAGTTGTAGGCCTCTAACTGGAAGAGGCCTGATGTGCATATAAAGATATAAACATAACAATGAAGTGTTTTCAATTAGTATTCCATAGTCACTCCACACTTGTAGCTGTACTGGCCTTTCTGCTCTAGCTCCGTGCCCATCACCTTTGCTTTGCAGTTGTCTCTCCTTCCATCCTCCCCTCTCTTTGTGCCACGGTGCTGGCCACTGAATCCGAATCCATATACTTAGTTTGAAGTTTTGAAACAATGCAAAGTCAGTGTGTCTTTCGACTTGTTTTGTCATGAGCCCCGGCTTACATGCTCTCTTGATCACCTTCTGTAGAAAACGACCTGAAGGATGGGTAGAAAACATGAGTGTTCTTATTGGTAAAATGCTTCTTAAAAGAGTTGCAAAGTAGCATTTCAGATAGCAAAACCAGGAAGCCCTTCCAGGAAATATCATTTTAACGATATCTTTAAGTATATGGGTTGTAAGACCCACACGGGAGACCATATGGGAAAGTAAGAAGGAAAACTCAGAGCCTCATGATAGTGGGCCTTAGGGAGTGTTCTTAATATTAATGGCCCCACTTCTCCCACCTGTCATGAAAATGGTAGCCAGTCACCCTAATTTCCTGCCTATTCTTTGTTGATTTCTAAGCGGTCTTTTTTCATTTTTATGTTTTTGGCACCCAGGAACTAAATAGCTTTAATTACTTGGATCTGTACAGACTTGCTGACCTCTTTCACCTCACTTTGTTGGAGAAGGCAGTGATTGATTTCCTAGTGAAACACCTCTCAGAGCTCCTGAAGAGCCGCCCAGAGGACGTCCTCACACTGCCCTACTGCCTGCTGCAAGAGGTGCTGAAGAGTGACCGCCTGACTTCCCTGAGTGAGGAGCAGATCTGGCAGGTAAGGATGCTCTACTTGGCTTCGAGAAAGCTTGATGTAATTAGAATTGAAGAATTCAGGAACAACAACCATTATTTGATGTGGACCAAGGTCCTCAGTGGGACCGAAGTCTTACAATTACTGCTCCTTTGGTGGGCAAGTGAATCTATGTATATAGCTCAGTTCAGGATCAGACTGGCACTGCGGCTTCCTGGGCACACCAGAAAAAGGAAAGACATTTTCTATTGAAAAAAAAAATCCTTGAATTGAATATGAACAGAATGGATTGTAAAGTAATGTACATATTTAAGAACAGTAAGAACAAACTGAATTCAGGGTTTTTCTATAAGCCATTTAGAAACATGTCTTTATTACAATGGAGAGTAGTTTAGACCTCAAGTGAAATTAAGCTCTTGCACTGCAGAGGGGGAAAAAATCTCCCTCTGGGTTCATTGTGTATTCTTCCCAAGCCCTGCCATTTTCCTTGACATAGAATCCTTTCACATCCTGTCACTGCTTTGTCTAGGGGACAGGAGGATGGTTTTTGTTTGAAAGTTGATTATTCAATTTAAATCCTCTTCTGCTCATCCCTAGTGACTCTCTTTGGACAATCCACCTGGAGTCTTTGAAAACTTATCTTCCTCCTTCTTCCTACACACCTGTCTCACTCTATCTAGACATTTGTTACTTGGGATATCATGCATCCAGGATTATTTGAAAACTGGCTATCTGTATAATACTAGGGAAATTTAGTTGCTCTATTGGCTAGTGGGGCAGTAAACCCCTAATGCCTTACCAAACATATTCAGAGAGTGCTTCTGGCCAATAGCCAATTCTACTGATGAATAATTTTCCTGATGTCTTCATTCCTCCTTTATTTGTAAATCTTTAATCACCTGCTGTCCTATTTTTATTGACAATGATAAGAGATGAAATGAAGGCCAGCCAGGCCCCAGGCACTTCAAGCTTTACTGACTTACTATTGCAACAGGCTTCAAGAATGTGTCCACCTTCATGTTGCAGGTAAACAAATGAGGTTTCTGTACTTGGTCCAGGTTTGCAGAGCACAGCCAACCTTCAAATCCAAGTCTGCGGACATTTACCGCATCTCTCCACTAGCCCACAGTCTTGATTTAAAAAGAAGTCCTAAGTTTTGCTGCTCTTTGGGTGTTTCTGGGAAAGCTTATTCAGGCAGAGGTTGCAGGTACTGGTGAGGATGTGGTTCTGGCAGGGATTTCAACAATCTGTGACTCTTCCCTGCCACATAAGTCTTCAGTATTGTCTTTGATCAATTCACAGTATGAAGTAGCCAAACTTATCTCACTTCCTATAGGAGAAGAAAGACACAGAATGAATTCTTCATTTAATTTTTTTTCTCACTAGATTGAGATTTGAGGCCATTCTTGTGGCATCTGCCAGTTAATGTAGCATGGTTGAAGGCACTGCTAGGGATTGACATGGTAATGTGCAGATGTCTGAATGTCAAGAAAACTCTATCCTGTCCACTCAGAAGTTATCAAAATTGCCTCTCTAAAGGCTACTAATGTTATAATGCAGAATTTTAGAAACTGGTTTCTTGCTGCAGGCAATAAGATACGTTTTTAAAGCTGGTCCTCAAGAAAGAATTAAAAGACTCCCATAAATATTATCAATTTAGGCATTCAGCAGGCAATAAGAAACTGTTGTTGCTTTATCTTAGTAAATAAGTAATTCCCTCTTGCTCAATAGAGAAAATCAAATCAGACCAACTATATTGCCTCAAGTATAGTTAAGTTCATCATTTTTTGCTGAAGTTATACTAGTAATGCAATATACCATGGAAGAATCTAATATTCTGCCCAGGGTGAAGATTGGGTCTGCCAGAGGATTAGTGTCAGGGTGCTTTATGGAAGTGAAACTTGACGGACAGGCTGGAGACAGATCTACAGAATCTCATTAAATTGCTGAATTGTTCATTACAGAACGTTCTCACTGTAATAAAGTGCTCATTGACTTTGACAAATCCCAGTCCTGTGCCTTAAAGAACAGTGAAGAAGGTGCTGGAAGAGAAAGGAAATTGGCACAAAGTAGGGCGGGTAGCAGAGAAGCAGATGAAGGTAGCTCCATTTGATTAATATGTGCAACATAGCTTAGGTGAGCACAGTCAACACACGTTTACCCAGGTGACTGCTCCACTGCGGGCTGATAATGTAATCTGGGACAATCCCTTCTTCAATGAAAGGTCTAATTTTCATTATTTACTAGTCTGGCTCTGAAGACCTGTCACAAAAACTTTTAAATTATTCTCACTGAACAGACTCTTATTTTATTTATTTACCTTTTTTTTTTTTTTTACTGTTTCTTCCCTTGATAGATGTGCTATAACCATTTTGTGGATCTGTGAATCTCTGAAATCCCACACAATTATGTCTTGTGCCTGCATTTTCTTTGTCCATTTGACCTTTTTAAAACTTTACATCTCTTCTCTTGCAGAGGAATTCTTATTCTGTCCCAGACAGTTTCCCACTCACTGTGTCTCCCTAGAAGCACTTGGTCTGTTGGTTAACTTTACTGTGCTTTCAGAGGTCACAAGCAGATTTGTACCTCAGATGTTTTAGGGCATAAAAGGACTTTTGAAAATATATTTTTGTTTTTAATTCACCTCAGTACAGCTCAACAATTTGGTTTTATATTTCAAGGCCAATGAATTCTCAAGTTCCAAAAGAAACACTCCAAATTAGTTACTAGTTCAAAGAGAGGCCATACCAGCAAAAATGACCAAGTCAGCTGAAGAGAACTATGGTACGTGAAATCTCTCATATGTGTTACATGGCAAATCTCTACCAGTTTTATTTTGCTTTCAGGATAGTCAGAGGTTTTAGCTCTAACTTAAGACTTTGTTTAAATAGGGTATTATTAAATAACTCTTATTAGAGTCAGCCTATAGACTTCTGAGCAGAGTCTCACCAAAAGAAGATGCTGACCAAAATGTACAAAACTTTTAGTTACAGGAAGAACAAGTTCTGAGGATCTAATGTCCTACATGGGTGGTTATAGTAGTCAAACTATAATAATTGTTACACGATGTAAGTGTGTATTATTGGTTCATCATGCTGTCCACCTTTAATATACTCAGTTCTCAGTTGTCAGTTAAAAATTTTTAGATTAATTAACAAACCAAAACATGGAAGTTCTTCATTAAGAAAACAACTTAGAATAAGATAATTCTTCACTTTTCCAATGCATCAGACACAATCTCATTTTCTTGGGAAGTGCTAATGACTGCTTTCTTCTCATAAAAGAACATTTCCTGTCTATTCAACCAAAGGTTCCTTCTCTCCAGGCTGAAAGGGAGATCATTATGTCGTAAGAGTACAGTTTATAGGAAAAGCTCCATATAGTATTTGTTCTTCAACAAACTAGCTCAGACCTGTTCTCTCTTCACTCATATTTATTGAGCTGCTGGGACCTCAGAGCTATCTTACAGTAGAAGGCAGAGGGCAGGTTTGCTAACTCCTTCCCCCAGGCCTCACCCCAAATGGGAGAGACTCTTATTTAAAAGCATGTACAACTCGGGATTGTGAGTATATTGCAGAAAAGAATGTTTTCTAAATGGATCAAGATGGTTTGGGGAAGACAGATGTGGCACCTTTAATCCCTGAACTTGGGACGCAGAGGCAGGCGGATCTCTGTGAGATCGAGGCTAGCCTTGTCTATATAGTGAGTTCCAGAACAGCTGGGGCAATAGGAGTCTCTCTCTCTCTCTCTCTCTCTCTCTCTTATTTCATATGTGTGTGTGTGTGCGTGTGTGTTATAATAATTCGGGGAAATAAAAGTGAATATTTTTGACACCTGTTACGAGCTAGACATAGTGTTGATAGATTGGTAGAAGATCCCTAAAAACAGGATTTACAAATTTTGAATTATTATGTCAAGCTTATTTCATCTTCATCTCTGTGTATAGAAATTTTGTTTTCTTACTAACACTTCCTACTTATTCTGTGAGGACAGTACTTTTATTCCTTTATTAACCTTGGGTTTGAGGGGACACCTACCTACTCCTAAAAGAAGTTGTGCCAACTCTTTTGAGTTGGGGATAATCCTGGTTACATTTGTCTCTGATTATACACTCTCTGAGCCAGAGACTGTGCCTTCAGTGTCTACATTGTGCAGTGCCATAAGTAATAAATACAAACAATAATGTAGAATTTTCATACTAAGATGTATCGAATGAATAATATCATACTACCAACCCCACATAAAGCTGTATTTATTCTAAGAAAAACTAGTATAGAAATTGAGTTTGGCCTTTCTTTTTTTATCTTTTTGAGACAGAGTCTTCCTGTAGCCCCAACTGTCCTGGAACTCACTATGTAGACCAGGTTGGCCTTGAACTCACAGAGATCTGCCTGCCTCTGCCTCCCGAGTGCTGGGATTAAAAGTGTGTGCCACCACACCCAGCAAGTTTGGCCTTTTATTTTTATTTTTTTTAATTTATTTTATGAATGTATGCATGTATTGCCTGCATGTAGGTAAGTGCACCGGGTCATGCAATGCCCATGGAGGTCAGAAGAGGCTGTCGGATCCCCTGGGATTGGAGTTACGGTCAGTTGTTAGCTGCCATGTGGGTGCTGGGATATGAACCCAGATCTTCTGCAAGAACAACCAGTGTTCTTAACCGCTGAGCCATCTCTAGCCCCCAAGTTTTTTTTTAATTTGTTACTTTTATTTTATGTGTATGAGTGTATAGCCTACACATGTGTAAGTGCACCCATGTCGCACAATGTCTGAGGAGGTCAGAAGAGGGCATTGGATCCCCTGGATTTGGAGTTACAGACAGTTGTTAGGCACCGTGTGGATGCTGGGAATTGAACCCAGGTCCTCTGCAAGAACAGCCAGTGCTCTTAACCACTGAGCCATCTCTCCAGCCCTAAGTTTGGCCTTTTAAAGTCTGCACTTTTCCTTATGTTTTATTGGAAATTTGTGTCTCTAGAGATATCACTCCCATATTATTTAGGGTGGTCAACAACATCAATTGCAAT